GCACAGCCAGAGACTTCCAAACAAAAAATAAAGTTAAAAAAGAATAAAACAATCAGAAATTTACCTTGCTTATGTTATAAAATACTATGCTAAAATGGGTAACTTTAACCATATTCTAACACCGTGGTAGTCAAAAAGCTCTGTGGTGGCAAGGCTCTCGGGATGGATGAGATTCAGCCGGAGTACCACTACCGCTCTGGATGGTTTTGGATTGTGCTTGCTCTGCAATATTATGTGGACATCAGGGGTAGTTCCGCTGGATTGTCAGACTGGAGTGGTGGTCCCCCTATTAAAAAATGCGGAACGTAGAGTGTGTTCCAACTACAGGGGAATCAGACTTTTAAGCCTCCCTCAGAAGGTATATTCGGCAGTTCTGGAGAGGAGGGTCCATTGGAAAGTCCAAACGTCAGATTTAGGAGGAGCTGTGTGGTTTCCATCCTGACTGTGAAAAGCTGGACCAGTTCTATACCCTCAGTGTGGTCCTGGACGGTGTATGGGAGTTTGCCCAACCAGTCAACAAATGTTTTTGGGACTTCGAGAAGGCTTTCGACCGTGTCCGTCGGGGAATCCTGCTCTGGGTGCTCCGGGAGTATGGGATTACCGGGCCTTGTGTGTCCATGTATGACCGGAGTCAGAGTTTGGTTCGCATCGCCAGTAGTAATTCAGACTCATTTCCAGTAAGAGTTGGACTCTGCCATGGTTGCCCTTTGTCTCAGGTTCTATTCATAATTTTTAGGATTGTATCTCTACTTTTCGCAGATAATGTTGTCCTATTGGCTTCATCAAGTAGTGATCTACAGCTCTCGCTGGAGTGGTTTTCAGCCGAGTGCAAAGCGGCTTGGATGAGGACCAGTGCCTCCAAGTCTGAGTCCATGGTCTCTCCCCGGAAAAGAATAGATTGCCTCCTCCGGATCGGGGGGATATCCTTCCCCAAGTGGAGGAGTTCAAATACCTCAGGGTCTTTTTCGCGAATGGGGATAGGGAGCGGGAGATCGACAGGCAGATTGTTGCGGCGTCGGTAATGAGGGCGCTGTACCACTCTGTTGTGATGAAGAGAGAGCTGAGCTTAAAAGCGAAAAAGCGAAGCTCTCGATTAATCGGTCGATCTACGTTCCCACTCTCATCTATGGTCATGAACTTTGGGTAGTGACCGAAAGAACGAGATTGTGGATACAAGTGGCCGAAATGAGTTTCCTCCGCAGGGGGGCTGTGAGATAGGGTCAGTAGCTCGGCCATCCAGGAGGGGCTCAGAGTAGAACTGCTGCTCCTCCACATCGAGAGTTGAAGTTGAGGTTGCTCGGGCATCTGATTAGGATGCCTCCTGGTCGCCTCCCTGATGAGGTGTTACCACCGGGAAGAGGCCCAGTGGAAGACCCAGGACACGCTGGAGGGAGTATGTGTCTTGGCTGGCCTGGGAATGTCTTGGGATCGCCCCAGAGGAGAGGGAAGTATGGGTTTCCCTGCCTCGGCTGCTGCTCCTGTGACCTGACCCCTCATAAGCGGTGGTCAATGGATGGATCGATGTCTGTTTATTGCTTTATCAAATACGATAGGGGTATAGCTTCAGCAGGAGCTCTTGCATGTCATGACTACACGAATCATTTAGACCTAACATAAGGTCTGTGAAGCTATTTTTGGACTCTGAAAACACCAAAAAAAAAGAAAGATAAAAAAATGGCCATCAAATCTTCTCAGTTCCTGCAACTACCATGTTTCTGAGTGTCTTTCCTTCACTCTCTGCTCTCATGTTTTATACAGGATGTGAAGTTTAACGGTGAATCCCCTGTATGGTGTTGTTGCGGAGGTCCACCTGAGTGCTGCTAAATAAGGACAGCGGTAATAGAAAAATTCAGATCTTTCTCTTCGTTTGGAACGGCATATGAAAATTCTAAAACTAAAAAGTACGATCATAACAATGCACTTAATGTCTGGTGGTTGAGACAGAACTGCAGTTCCACTGGAATGAAACAGAACCAATATAAGTGGAGATGTCATTACTGTTGACGTAATGCAAGATTAAGAGCTGCAGCTATCAGAATTGTTATTTGGATGGTAAAAGCACACATCCTGACAGATATGTCATCTCAGAAAAGACAGTGCTAAACACTAAGCACTCATTTAGATCCAACCGAGTATAATTTTGTGTCTAAAAGTCATGATGACATCTAGATACAACCCTTTATCCTTAAATTGTTCTGTACATGCAGTGTGAAGTTGGAAGGGCTAATTGGAATAGGAAAAAAAGCCCTACAGTTGTGTACTGAAATAATCAATAATTGGGTAATACTCGATATGGTGATAATAGCCATCTTGTTTAATTAAATTTTATGTTGGTGTATAATGATTACATTTGTTATTGTTATTATAATCATTACTATTATTATAATTATCGATTTTAAAAAAGCATGCTGTGTTTTTTAAATACAAGCATTTATTTCAGTGTGCAAGGAATATTTTTTCAAGCATTGTTTGAATTATTATCATTTTTTTAGTACTCGATCTTGAGGATCGACCTAATGGAGCTTCCATACTATTGAGCTAAACCGTGTTGTCTTTCATACTTGGCTTATGTGACTTTGTGTAAGCTGCTAGTAATAAGCAGCACATATATCTCATAATTCTACTTTACCAATGTTGTCATAGTTTTCAATTGTGTGTAGACAGAGTAATTTTACATTTGAGATTCACCATTTCTTTTTTGTTCAGACTTTGGTCGATTGGGCTTTTGAGACAGTGAAAAGGGGAAATAAGCACACAGCACATAGCTTCACTGTAGACAATTACCGAACAGAAGAGCTCAGGCACGCACATGCATAGTTTGATGAATAGTTGAGGAGTGGTAACATGGCCTAAGACCCTTTGGAGAGCTGGCCTTAGTCAGAGAAGGCACCTGGCCACATTCCTGTAACAACTGTTTCCATCCTCGTGGATTTGACACCCTACAAATACAGTACATCTTCCTTGGTTATCCTGTCAAAGGTGACATCCAAGATCTTGTCCAAACACTTTAAATATATATACATACTGTGGTTTATTCCAATCACTTGAGAGAACAAGCTGTGTCAAAGAATGATTTATGAGAATGGTCAGAGCTTTGAATTCAACATGAATAAATCATTGAACCAAAAGTAAGATTCACTTGGTTTATCTGGTGATGCTTGAGTGTGACTCTGTGACTTATGGACTCCTATACTTTAATCTGAAAAAGTTAATGAAATTAGAATTTTAAATTTGGTATCCATTTGAATAAAACTGCTGCAATAAGCAAATAACCTTTTCTGTTTAGGTTAATTGTTTGGCATGTTCAATCTGTTATAATTGGGCTATAGCTCACTTTAGCATTGTATGTTATAACATAACCCATGTCAATTACTGGGTTGACTTTTTCCTCTTAAAACTTTTGTGTTAACTTGCTGGCTGTGCCCACAACTTTTCTTTCTCTCTCTGTGGCAGCAGACCCACTGTTTAGGTCAACACACACTTTGTTACCACATTCCAATGTCATCTGCATGAATTAGGATCTGGCCTCTTTATGCCCAGAGGTAATTAGTCAATAGCATTTGGTTGTGTCCAGGCTCAGCTCAGAAGACAATATCCGTCACACCAGGAGTTCGGGGCTCTTTGCCGACTGAGACCCTCAGGGAGCATTGTCTGTGAGAGCCCGGTGATGATAACTTTAACTGTGTCCAGTAAGTGTAATTTTTGTACTCTTATTCTCAGGTTTCCAACTAAAGAATCGGGATAACAAATCACTCCACTTTCATATGATACAGCTTTGAATAAAGCCCATTGGGAAACTGATGGTGCCGGACCAAAAAAATCTTCTCAGGTTGGTTTTCATATAAAATGACACTTGACCCTTTTTAGGAAGAAAAAAACTTTCATTAGAGATTAGGAACATATTGCTTATAATGTCAACAGAATGCTGTTGCCTGTAAATCAGCATTTGGCACACAGATGAGATAGGATTAAGTGCCATAAAAGATGACAAATATAGTGAGAGTCTGAATGAGGATTTACTGTCACACCATTTGATAACTGCCAAGCTTCGAGAGGCAGTAACATATCTCAAATACAGCTCTGTGCAATCAAAACAAACCAGGAAACTGCCAGAGTCATCTCAACATAGGTGTCTGAGAAAAAGCTATAATTGATGGCTAAGTTAATGCCAAGGTGGTGTCAGGGGCAGAGGCAGGCATTCTGAGTAGAATTCTAAAGACATGACCAGTGTACAAATAAATGTAGTAGTAGATGGATGGGTGATAAAAAACAAAACAAGAAACATTAAATTGTTTTACTCAATTTCATGTTACCATATTATCATTATTCCTATGATCAATTACATGTTTTTTTCTAATCTTAAATGAGAATTTGAACGAAATGAGTAGTTCAATAATGTTTTAAACATCCTGTAAACGCACGCTCTTCCCATTAGTAATATAATGGTGTTGATTAATGTTGCTTTCATTTAATAATCATTTTTAAATAATGGTAAAGCTGCGTAAGTAGAAATTTTACGTATCCTCAACCACCCAACCTTACACATCGTTTTCTTTTTATTGCTCTAAGAGTTCATATTTCCGATGTTTCATGAAAGCATCATGTTCTGGATATTCTGCCCACTTTTACCGCGAAAACTACGAAAAGAAGGTAAAAACAAAAGGCTGACCAGGGTAAGCTGCGGTGGCAAGATACTCTTAATTGACATTATTGTGTTCTTAGTAATTAATTTTAGGGTCTTTTTTTTTGTTTTATTGAATTTTACAACTCTTGACATGCTGCACTCTTGTTTATTACCATTAGCATATGTAATTAGGTTAGCTAATTTGGGTGTTTGCTAATTTTATAAGAAGTCCTTAGATATATTTTAATTGATGATTAATGAAGATGTTGTTGTTAACTGCTCTACTTTGCTCGATTTCAGATTTTTAAAAAGACAACTTTGTTTTACTGTCTGTCAGCTTAACAGCCATAAAACAAAACATCTAAGATCAAAATAAATGGATGCTCAAAACTGCATTGCAATCTCTGAGCTGCATCCAAACCTTTCTCATCCAGTAAGTGCTCTTGCTCTCTTCTTACTCTTCAAGAAAGTAACAACGAGTCAGTGTTTATTTGCCAAGAATAGTTTTTTACTGCAACATGTGGCTGTACACTGGAAACATGGTGTGACCCGAGGTGTATTTTTGGTGCATTGCATTAGATTAAAAAATAATAATAATAACGAAATCACATAGTCAGTGTCATACATGTTATTGTCCTAATGCTTTTTAGAAGGTTGTCGGCATCATCATCGGAAAAACAGATGTCAAAAGCTTCCCTGACAGAAAAAGTAAGTACCATTATTCTTTCTCTGTTTGAAAGCTCAATATCAACAACGTTTTATACACCAGCGTCCTCTGCTGGAGATTTGGTTGTCGTGTTCCGTTTAATATCAAGACTTTTGTCTCAACAAAAAAACCCCTCCTTTGGACTTGACTTTCAGACCTTGAGATTGATCGCTTCACTTTTGGCTTCACTGTGAAGGACTCACCAGACTTCTTCATTAATGTGACAACATGGGGAAATGATGGTTATGTCAACAGGCTTGCCGACAGCTTCAGCATTGGAGATTGCGGTGACTAAGACTTTTAAGTTCCTACAGAAGGGCAGAAAGACCCTACATATCAGATGTTATGCAAAAGCCCTTTTACTCAATTTATAGTGTCATCTTTTAAGATTAAGCTCATTTTCAATATTGAACAGCTGTCAGAGTGAAAATTTTTTCTACTTAGAAAATGCTACTGTGTGTGCCTTTCAAACTTGCACCTGTAAATCTTGCTTTCTTGCTATTGTTTTTCAGTCATAATTGAAAATCCTTTAGTTTCCAACAAAGACCCAGAGAAAGGAGACAAGTTCTGCCCCTCAACACCAAGGTAATGAAACTCTTAGCCACAATTACCTGACTGACAGCTGGAGAAAGAGGAAGCAAACAGACATTAAGATTGTGGGAAATATGATGTAACTATGTGTAAGGCTTGTGTCAGCCTCTACAGGCTGCTGGTGACGGAGACCCATTCCCAGGTGTGTCTGTGTGCTGACCTGGACGTCATTGACAGGCTGCTGCCACTGATCCACCTGCCTGCAAAAGACTCCAGAGATTTCTACTCTCTGGGAGACATTGTGGCCAATGGCCAAAAGTTGGATGGCACCATCATTAATATTCTGGCTGCTGTAAAATCGGTAGGAAACAAAATAGTGCGATGGAAAATATTTTAAGTTCTTCTGAAGAACCAGTACAGGGAGTTTTGATCCATTTTCATTTCATGGGCCTCCAACAAAAGACGCAGCACATCTCTTTTGGTAGAGAGATAACTGAAAAAATAGCATTAAAGAAGCTTGTGGCTGTCTAGGCAGATCTGTGGTCATCATAGAGCTCATAGACCTGCCCTGACTGCATGAACTTGTATTTTTCTCAGCATGTCTCACACAGACACACAGATATACACAAACATAACTGTCTAAATGTTTATTTTTAAACACCACCGTGTTTCAAATGCTATGGGTGAGACACCTAAGCCTACATTGCACAATGTGCAGGTCACTTGTGTATGGCTGCAGTGTAAAAAACAGGGAGGATCTCTGGATCCTCTCTGTTTTTTTAGAGAGGCTCTGTTATGCCACAAAGAGAAAAAAGTTTGTTTTTCTTTCTTCTCAGATCAGAGAGCGGAAACAGTTTACCACTTCAGATGGACGTGAAGGACAGAGGCTGGAAGTGAAGCTCTTTGATGATTCTGTTTCCTCCTTCCCCCTTATCTGGTGTGTCACATGTATTCATAAATATGCTACGCAAAAGTTTTTTTTCTGTATTTTTTCCCCTATATCTTTACTGCATCAGGGAGTCCCTCTGTGTGCCATTAGATGACCTCAGACTAGTTGCATTAACCCTTGACCCTAACGAGTGTTTGATTTTCACCACTTCCACCCCGGAGTCATTCCCTGACATCTGCTTCCTTCACAGCTGGGACAGGGAGACCATCCGGCTCCTGCAAACTTTGGTAGCAAGGGAAACGGGTGAGTTAGCATCTGCTGCACATTCTCATCTGCTAAGAAACCTTTATTTAATCTGACATCAGCTCTTTTTCACAGGATATGTGACCACATGTTAATGTTTGAGGGCACTTCTTGTTGTTTTTACGCTATTTTTTCTTCTCAAAGTACTCTTCATATCCGATGTAAAGATCAGCTTTGACAGCTTTCGCAGCTGCATGCAGGCAACCGCTAACTCAAAGAGCATCATTACTGTCAATCCCGGTAAGAAGACAGTGTGACAGCTCTCTGTGACAGTGTTCACAGAGAGCCCCCCCTTTGTACTTTTTATAAAAATCAAAGCAAGGAATTTGTCTTTTTGGATCAACCACCTGCGGTGAGAGTGAAATATTAGTAGCCAGGCGTAAATGTCAATCAATATTTGTTATCAGACACCAGAGAGGCCAGCTTGCTGTTCAGCTATGCTAAAGAGGTGTTGGAGTCTGGAGCTCTGGATCAAGATGAAGTGCCCGAGGATCTGCCAGGTTTCACTCTATATCTTGTCATCATCATGTTGCTGTGCAGGATACGCAGGCATGAGCATGCACTCCTGTGTTTGTCCCTGCAGTGCATTCTATCACAGAGGTGTACACAGTAAGCCAGCTGAAGCAGAAGGCCAGAGAGCATCCAGAGGCTTTCTTTGGCATCACTTACAGCTTTATTTCCAGGCTCGACCTTGACTCCTCTGTCTCAAAAGTCATCAAGATACGTTGGTATGAAGAAATATGGAACTGTTTCTGTACACTAAACTCCAGTCAGCACTTTTATCTGCCTTCTTTCTTCCACCTTAGCTCGATATGTAAGGTCCAGGTGACTGAGGACATGCAGAACTGTAGTAACCAGCTGTGCTCAGGGAGGGATCAGGCCTTTTCAGCCACCAGTGACTTTGACCTACTGGTGGATTTCACTGACCACACAGGAACCCTGCAGTCCTGTAACCTCCGAGGTCCCGTGGCAGAGCAGACACTTGGCTGCACAGTCAGTACTTGGCATAACACCTAGAAAATAAGGCATCACTGTACTTCTGTTTATGACAAAGTTAAAGGGAAATTTAGTTTTTCATTTAGTTTTCCATTAAGTTAAGTTTTCAAATCACTGAAGTTGTGCCGGTGCACCTTCTGGGACAAATTTCTACTTCTCTGTAATCTGATGCAGACAGACCAGTACACAGCTTTGACCGATGATCAGCGGACTACACTGAAGTGGACATTTCTTTTGGAAAGATGCAAAATTTATGTGAAGGTGTTCAGCCTTTGATTTTGTTCTTTGAGACATCGATTGGGGGGGAAAAACAACAGAAATGTTAATAGAAACCCAATTATGTGTCATAGATCCTTCCTTCACCGAAGATGAAGAGCGGAATCAAAGCGGTGATCCTGGCCTGCTCACTGGCTGATCCAGGAGAGGTGAAACAGCACATGTCAATCCTGCTGCAGCGACTGTGTTCGACAGACTTTGAATGAAACCACACAACCTTTTTGTTAGGTCTCTGTTTTGTGCACAGTGTTCTGGCTATTACCTGAGTTTATATTTAGTAGATAAACTATATCCCTTTGACTACTTATTTAAATTAACTTAAGGTATTTAAAAATAAGTTATTGCTTTATTAGCTTAAGTCTGTATGAAATAAAGTACTTTTAAGAGCAGTATCATGTCTGTGTGTGGTATGCTCATCAACATATATAATTTCACCAAAATGTCAACATAGTAAGTTGGCTAACTTAGCAGCATAGTTAATACTTAGCCACGCAAACAGATATGGGACAAATTTAGAGGAGCTTTTCCGCTGTTCAGAATGGTGCCAGGGACAGGGAAAAAGTTACCCATTTTTTTACTAAAGACCATTCGCCAGCACAGCTAAAAGTTGGATCTTAAGTTTGATTTTTTTAAGCATGTAAAATCCCATGTACATAGATATTTTTACTCATTGACAAGTACTCATTGACAAGCACTTTTTTGCATGATAAACCCACCATCACAAGATGTGTGTGCGCCAAGTTTCGAAGCGGAACATTTAGAACATTTATGTTGCCGTCGGACGTTTTACGACGACGTGCCAACTTGTGTTAAACAAGGTAATGTAAAAAAATGGCTGATTTATTACGGATAATTCTCGGATTATAGGATTTGCTTTAATATATTTTTATTCTTTAAGCTGTAAGCTTTTGCAACCGGATAATGTTGCTAATTTGTTTTTTGTACGAATCGCAGTGCCCTTAAGTTCAGCTAGCTTTTCATGCTAATGCCAGACATTTTGTTCCGCATTTATATTTTGTCAAGTGAACCGAGAGATATTTCCTATTTTTCTCGCTCGTTGAGTCTGCGTCCCTGACAGCCGTACAGCATGAATGTGAACCAGGGGACTGTGGGCAGCGACCCGGTCATTCTGGCCACGGCTGGATACGACCACACTGTCCGCTTCTGGCAGGCCCATAGCGGGATCTGCACTCGGACAGTCCAGCACCAGGATTCTGTATCCTGACTTTGCCAGGAAAATACCCTGCACATTTAGACACATCATATTAAAACATGGTTTACTAAGAAGTTTAAATATGCAAAAATGTGTCACATCAGTCTAATTTCTTAACATTAACTTCTAGCAAGTCAATTCACTTGAGGTCACGCCTGACAGGAGTATGATAGCAGCAGCAGGTAGGTTAACAATCTCCCTGCAGACTTGTTGCATGTAGTACATTGTCTCTGCTCTGTTTCCCAGAGTTATAACCCTGCATTTGTTGAAGGCTATCAGCACATTCGCATGTATGACCTAAACTCCAACAACCCAAACCCAGTGATCAACTATGATGGAGTCAGCAAGAATATCACTTCGGTGGGCTTCCACGAAGATGGGCGCTGGATGTACACAGGAGGAGAGGACTGCATGGCTCGCATATGGGACCTGAGGTACTGCCAGCCAGCCCTGTGATGGACTGATGATCTGTCCAGGGTGTACTCTGCCTTTTGCCCAGTGTTAGTTGGGATAACCTTCAGCCATCCCACGACCCTACTATGAATAAGCGGCATAGATAATGAATGAATTGGTACTGTCAGGCAGGCTTGCTGCAGTCAATATCTGTTCTAAATCTGCTGGAAATTGAACAGCTCCCTCTGCTACCTGTTCAGGTCAAGAAATCTGCAGTGTCAGAGGATTTTTCAGGTCAATGCTCCAATCAACTGCGTTTGTCTGCATCCCAACCAGGTGAGAATCAGTGTATGAGGGGCTGTCTTTTGGAAAACTTACATCATTAGTCTCATTCTTTCGAACAGTGATTCTGATGAAGGAAAGAAGAAACCGTATGAAGGAGACTCATTCTTTGTGTATTTTCCAGGCCGAGCTGATTGTTGGAGACCAAAGTGGAGTAATCCACATCTGGGATTTAAAAACTGACCATAATGAGCAGCTCATTCCGGAATTAGAGGTCTCTGTCAACTCTGTTCACATCGACCCAGATGCCAGCTACATGGCAGCAGTCAACAGTTCGGTCAGTAGCTATACATGGGGAACACAAGTGTGAAAGTGATCTGCTTTTAATTTTTCATTTTTTTTTTCTCTGCAGGGAAACTGTTACGTGTGGAACCTCACTGGAGGAATGGGAGATGAAGTCACTCAACTCATTCCCAAGACCAAGATCCCAGCACACAAACGCTACTCCCTGCGCTGCAAATTCAGCCCAGACTCCACGTGAGCGTTAATTACTTTTGCCTTAAGCTTAAAAACTCTGTTTGCTGTAAAAGTGTTTCTAAGTTTTCTACCCTGATGTTTTGTGTTTGTCCAACACCTCCTCAGACTACTGGCCACCTGCTCAGCAGACCAAACGTGTAAGATTTGGAGGACGTCCAATTTCTCACTTATGACTGAGCTGAGCATCAAGAGCAACAACCCTGGGGAGACATCTAGAGGCTGGATGTGGGACTGCGCCTTCTCTGGAGACTCTCAGTATATTGTTACAGGTCTGTACACCAACCAGGGGCAAAAGGGTTGACTCAGCAATGTCAGGTGACTCACTTTATATCCATTTTAACACAGACAACGGTTGATACAACAATATTCTAGCAATCTATACGCTGTCTTTACATCTCTTCAGATGGAAAAGAGGATACATTTTTTTCATAAACCAGATGCCTTTTGCCTCAACTGCTCAGTCACTTTACAGTTCCACTGGCTTCGTGTTGTGCTGTTCATCAGCAGGATATGACTCATTCTTATTTAAAATTGCATTACGGTTTTTGGCTAAAAAAAACAACGAAATAACATGTGAATCTTTATGGATGTCTTCCTTTAGCCTCTTCAGACAACCTGGCTCGTCTGTGGTGTGTTGAGACCGGTGAGATCAAGAGGGAATACAGCGGCCACCAAAAGGCTGTGGTGTGTCTGGCCTTCAATGACAGCGTGCTTGGCTGAGGAAGGAGGCAAACCGGAGACAAGGGTCTACAGACAATTTGCTGAGTGAGGAAGTACAGTTGGCTGCACAATTTGGGATTATTTAAACCGTTCCCCAGAATGTCAATTTTTTGGTCAAACATCAAAATGGCTCTGCCTGCCAGAAACTATGCGCATTCAGCGGGAAACGGCATGGACATGATTCATGAGCACAAAGGTAAAGTTGACCTCAACAGTCAACAGTTAAGACGGACCTCACAGATTAAAGATCACTGTGAGCTATACAGCAATCATAAATGAGAAGAAAGTGTTGGATTAAATAGTGTACAGGAAATTCTAAACGGTCAGTGTGAGCCTTGAATTTTTTTCAGACCAATAAAAAATGAAAAAAAATTGTATGGACCCACACTGAGTGTTTTATTGTACAGATCAGAAGACCACAGCATTACATTGTAGGAAGGTCCAAAACAAAAATACAAAAAAACGAAGGGGAAAATGGATATTTCTTCTGAAATCTCTGCAGCTTGCTACCAGAGAGGGAATTACACTTTAAGAGAGTGACGATGGGAATTTGGAAGGCGGGCCTGACAGCCTGTCCCCATTTCTTCAGTGGACCAAGGGGCTGGCTGCTTCACTGGTTTACCTGTGACAGTATGGGACAAGGGACACAAAGCTGACTTTATTTTTCACAATGAGGGGGGAAAAAAACTAAACAAAAGGTAGAAAGCTTTTGTTACCCTGATCTTATTTGCTGGTAGGACACAGAAAAACGTGTCACTCGGGCAGGTAGTAGAAACACACGGACACGCAGATGTTGCTAGGGAAGCAGATGTCGATGCAGAAGTACACCAGCCTCTGTTTTCCAGGGCCTGAAACACACACGCCGCAGAGATTCTTCAAAGACAAGAGTCATTGAAAGAGTCACTGCACTCACACAAGTTTGTGTTCTACAAACACATATCTCACCAATATTTTTTAGGTTTCAAAATCTGCTAGACAAATGTGTGTTACACCGCACGTCCAGAAAAGGTTAAAGAAAAACAACCCCAAACATGACACAGTCATGCTTCACAGTCGGAGCAAGCACACTGATGTAGATAATGTCTTCTCAGCCTGTGGACAGTTCAGTGTGTCACAGATTAGTTCTGTTTCAGCCTGACGTCGAGCTTCATTGTGGACTCGAATCTCTGTGTACAGGCTCTGGTGAAAAATTTGGCATATTTAAACAAAATACTAGGATAAATTTAGTTTAACTTAGTATTTTCTCTTCATTATCACTGCAACTTTTTTCCTTGTCACACAAAATATTTAAAGAAGAGAAAAAAGTAACCTGTCAGACTTTTATATTTATCTTTTTTTCTCTACTAGGAGAATCTAAATTCCTTTCAACTGAAAACATTTATTTAGTTTACATTTCTTTACTCTTGGCTAGAAAAACAAAGAGCAGATAATATCTTCCTTAAGGCATGAAATCTGATGAGAGAAAGAAAGGGAGGATTTCAAAAAACTATTTTCAGTGACGGATGTGCAGACGTGGTACTGGCTTTGAATACTTCAGTAAAAGTTTTATGTTGTACATGACACATTTGGCGTTTATTGACATAACAGTCCTCTCACCTTCAGCCCTACGGGTCCAGTGGATGGATCTGTCCTGACACAGAGTCTGAAAAGGCTCATCCAGAGTGGATATGTTCACCTGACTGGCTGCCAGCACTCCCAGGAACTCCATCTGCCTCTGCGTCTCATTTCCACGCAGCTCAAAGAGCCTCTGCTGAGGAGAGCATCATGGTCAGGATCTAGAAAAATGTGGACTGTTTATCTGCAGAAAAGAACAGACCCTTCTTTTCTGAAGTTAAAGGAACAGTATTCAACTATGAAGAGGAAAAATGCAGTGAAAACTCAAGCTGTTAATAGGCTGAAATTGTTAAAGATAAATCAAACATGGTGGTCCTGACTGATCACCAAAATGGTGTGTAATTGCACCTCTTACATCTCTGACTGCCTCTGATAGTAAACCACTTAATTTACTCCTCCACCTTAGAGTAAAATAACTAAAAGCACTGTTGTGATGTAAGTAGAATGACTGCACGGCTTATGACAGATTAAATTACCGCGACTGCAGTGCTGAGAAGCTGTATGAGATATGCGACACCACCAAACTCAATGCTTGCACGCTCTGAAGCAGCTTTTGATGTGTGGAAATGAAGCATTGTGCAAAAAGATAAGAAACCGGGTGGCCTCTGATTACCTTTCAACATTCAATTGAACCCTAGGTGAGGACCATTTTCCACCTAAGATTGTGGAATCAGTAGTGAGACTCAGACAACGAAAGACTATTAATATCTGAGGGTGACGGGGCTAAAATTAGAACCAACAGTGCATCGAAGTCAATTTAGAAATTCGAATATGTGCAAACAAACAGGCACACACAGAGCATTTGAATGCATCATCTCAAAGAGGCTGCCTTTAAAGCTTAAGAGCCCTCACACAGAGTGGCCATTGTGCCCCATGCAGTGCTGGGACTCGCTGCTGTGAACCCATGTAAAAAGATCCTGAGCAGCTTGGGGGGCCAGGACGGATCAGATTTGCTGAGGAATTCAACCGTGGAGGCAGGTCACTCCTGCCGCTCGTTCACTTCACCCCTCACTTTGTGTGGATGCTGACAGGATGTTACACAAGTCTCCTTCAGGTCCTAGCTCAGTGATGCAGCCAGTATAAAGCCTTGACTCAGAAACCTAGTTCAACTCAAAAGGTCACCTTTTTTTGATTATTTATTTTTCTTAGGACCCAGTCTGTCGTCCTGATGACTGGCCCATTACCTTGGGCGTTGACTTGCAGAGCAGAGAGTTCACGTTGTCATAGTCCGACTGCCCCATCCATCGCAGGAAGCAGCTGCTTTGGTCGGCTGGTTTGTAGCACGTCAAGCCCTGAAACACAGCAGCACACCCCCAGCTGGTGAAACGTGTCACCCAGCACGAAAAAAATCACAAGCAGCTCTACCCGCTCATACATGTTTCACGTCAAAGAGCACAGTGGACGTCTGATTCGGCAAGGATGTCACATAAAGCGTCACCCGCTCATTCTGCAGGTCCACGACCGCTGTCTGGTTGATTGGGGCGCCATGCTGATCAGGTCTCACTATCTGTAATGACTACAAGAAACTGAATCTGGTACGTCTTTGCAGATTTAAGGCTAGAAACACCAAAGCTGGGGTGTGAGAGAAAGCATAGCTTCCTACCCAAGAGTGAGCCTGAGTGAGCCAGAGGTATCCCGTCAATCCCAAGGAAAGGATCAGCAGGAGCAGAAGGGATGAGATGCTGACCCAGAATGACTTGTGGGAGAAGAGGGAGCGCAGAGAAACAGTGGATCTCCCAACCTGAAAAGATTTTTGCACACATACGAACCAAGACGTGCTTCTTAAAAAAACACACAGCCGGGGGTTTAAACCCGAAAGAAACAACAACAAAGTCTGCGCCTGGATGAAAAAATTAAGAGACTCCTACCAGAATACATGTAAATCCTCTCTGGGATGCTTACCGTGCACTGTGTCTGCTCCAAACGGCTGTCCGAACACTTCCAGAACCCCCCCATCTTGTGTCCCATTCACTGCTCCTCAGTTGGTCTCCCTTCTTGTTGCTATCAACACAGAGCTGTGCTCATTGCAAGCACTGAATGAGACTCTACAGCCCTGGCCAGATTCTTTTTGGTCCCCTCACATCTCCCCCCTCTCTCCTTCCCCCTCATCTGACCCTTACATTGTCCTCCCAGTCCTCGTGTCACGCACACCTCACCCAAATCTTGCCAGACTTCATTCTGAAATTCTGCCTTCCTGTAATTTCCACCTCATCCTCCCTACTTCTGCAGGGATGCCCCATTTCCATTGCTCAGACCTAAGCTTACATGAGAGGAGCTGGCTGCGCTCCCCGGCATGGACAAAGGACAAAGAGGTGAGGCATGCGCAGTGAGGAAAGACTCTCTCATCGGCCAAGAAGCGATATGAGATTTCGACTTGCCGCTGCATTCAGCCGACGAAAGGCCAAGGTGACTTTAAGTGCAGGGCTCAGATGGGAATTTCCCTCTAAAGTTGAAGCCAAATAAAGCGGAGGCTGGCGTTGTGAAAATATTTGGTTTTATTAAGGACGTGTGGACACAGGGAGTAAGGTGTTCAGACAGAAATATATTTAAACATTACTGCCTTTACAAAATACACAAAGAACTCTAAAACGGGTGCAAACCCAGACACATATCACCATACTTCTTTCTCTTTTGGTAGCACTTGCAGTTGCTTAAGGGGAGATTACATCACAGAGAAGAAAAGGACCAGAAAAGCAGAGGCTGTTCTTGACTCCAAGCACTTAAATAGGCTGAAACAATACTGAATTTCCTTTTTTAAATTAGTATCATCAATAATTTATTCTAGGCTGAAATAAACAGTGTTTGTTAAGTCAAATCTGGATAGTCTCTCAGTCACCGACTGTAACTATGTGAAATCATGATAAAAGTATTCCCTTTATTATAGTGGACCCCAGCGTTCGAGCAGCTGGACATGTCATTCGAGCTGACGGTACCTCATACATCATCCCATCATTTCTCAGTCTCATCCCTGCAGGGCCGGAAGGAGATCTGCAATGCTCTCCACATAATAATCCGGCACCATCCCCTGACTCTCCGTGCACCCGCTGCTCTGATGGGCCTCAGCTTCCGCCACAGTGCTGACCCCAGTCAGAGTGAGGAGGGTTCTCAGGCCACAGTTGGAACCCAGCATGATGTCAGTGTCCAAACGGTCACCGACCATCAGGCAGCTTTCCCGTTTTACACCATACTTGGAAGCCACACAGTCAAACATGAAGTGGTTGGGTTTGCCCACCGTTTGGGCCTGACGCTGGGCGGCCGTCTCCACAGCCTGCAGCAGGCAGCCTGTGCCTGAGGGGCAGAGGTTGAGGGCATGTTTAGTTTTCATGTATCACCAAAGATCTTATGTTGGAACAAAGCCCTTCTTTTTAAAAAATATTAAAATACCTATGATATGAGGTGCTTTTCACAGAAAATGAATTGTGACAGACTTCCACTCCACAATGCTGCACAATATGACCTGAAATGTAGGCTACATCCTTACCTGGGACAGCCTTTCCCCCCTCAAGAGGCAGCCGGGTGTCCCTGTTGGTTCCCACAAAAAGGCAGTCCCGCTGGATCAGGTACTGCAGGGCTCTGTTCAACTTCATGTAACTGAAGTGTTCGTCGAAGCCGACCACCACCGCCTTCACCTCGGGATCCAGAGGCACGCTGGCCCAGTCGCTCTGCTTTCCGCTGATGTGGTCGGGTCCTACCCCGGTCTGCTGGATCCCCACGGCCTCCAGCTCCTGCTTCATGGCGTTGCTCCCTATCAGGTACACTTTGCCTTCCAGCTTGCAGATCGTCTTCAAGTACATGGCAGAGCAGTACGCCGTCCCGAACACTTCCTCCTCAGTCACGTTGAACCCCAGGGCGGACATCTTGTCCGCATACATCTTCCTCGTTTTAGTGCTGTTGTTGGTGACGAAGAACACATTTTTACCGTTCTCCTTTAGCAGGTTTATGACTTGCGGTGCGCCTGGGATGGCCTGGTCCCCGCGCCAGATAACCCCGTCACAGTCAAACAGGACGCTATCAACCGACTCCAGCACCTGCTTGACAAGCGCCCCACTCAGCCGAGTGCATTTCGACCCAGACACAGACATCGGTCACTTGTTACTCAGTCACTGACCGCGGTCGACGTCGGAATTCGCTGCTTTGTACAACAGCCACACACGTCACCGTTACGGGGCCGCGAAGAAACGTCCTGTCGAGACTTTGAGGCAGTACAAAAACTGTCCAGGACGCACCTTTCGAGAGAGGGTGTGTGGTATCCTAACTCGCCAGAAAAAACAACCAGACCTTCCACACGAAGACTTCTTCTTCTTCTTCTTCTTCTTCTTCTTCTTCTTCTTCTTCTTCTTTGATTTTTAACGGCAGCTTACATCCATGATTGTTGTATTACTGCCCTCAACTGGATCCTATTGTCTAAACCTCAAATTCTCATAATGATCCCAGTATTTTTAAAAAAACGAAAGATCTTCTTTTTTCCCTCAGTATCATTTAACTGCTCAACCACATTCTTAAATTTCAAATCCCTATTACTACCTAATTCATTTTTTAATATTCTTCTTTGATCTACATATTTCGTACAACTAATAAAAACATGTTCCATTGTTTCTACCTCATCACACCAATTACATAAACCAGTAAGATGTTTCCCCATCTTAAAAAGAGTTCCATTCAAAAAACTATGACCGGTTCTTATTCTATTTATAATTATCTCCTCCCTCCTATTTATTCCTCTAATCCTTTCTACCTCAACTGTATTTTGTATCTTATACAAATGCCTTCCATTTATTTCATTATCCCACCTACTTTTCCATATCTTCTTACTTTCTCTCCTAACTATACTTTTTCCTTCAGCTTTAGATAACTTTATTGGCATATCAATATCTTCTTTTTTAATAGCCTCCTTAGCCAACCTATCTGCTCTTTCATTCCCCAAAATACCCACATGAGCAGGAGTCCAAAATAATATTACATTTTTATTTTGTTCACATAATCTTTGATAAACAATCATAATCTCATATAATATATTTTTATGATTATTTGTACTTCCCTTTTCAATGCTCAACAATGCAGATAATGAATCACTACATACTATTATTTTATTTATATTAGCATCCTCCACCCATTCTAAAGCTAATAATATGGCACATAATTCTACTGCATATACACTCAGATAATTTGAGGTTCTTTTTGAAATATTAATCTTTAATTCAGGAATCACTACTGCTACACTGGTTGTTTCATTTTTTGGATCTTTTGAACCATCAGTATAAATTTGTAAATAGTCATTATATTTATTCTGTATTTTATTATAAAATTCTTGACAGATGTCTGTTATATTTCTTTTCTTAATATTTGATAATGATCTATCTACATTCATATATTTCCATGTCCATGTAGGTCTCAAAGGCCACAAAACTGTTGGACTGAATTCCTTGGTATATACATTAAATATTTTTGCTATGTCATCTCCAATCCACCCAAAACTATTCATTTGTTTCTTTCCTCTTTCCCAACAATTTTCTAATAATTTCTTAACAGGATGATCTTCATTATGTCCTTTTAAATTAATCCAATAATTTATCATTAACTGTTGTCTTCTGATATATAATGGCATTTCTCCTGATTCTATTTGTAAAGCACATATTGGAGTTGATTTAACTGCCCCTAAACAAATTCTCAATGCTCTAGTTTGAATAACATCTATTTTTTTTAATCTAGTTTTAGCCGCTGAACCATATACCACACTCCCATAATCTATTCTTGATCGAATTAATGACACATACACATTTTTAAGTGATTCAAAATTTGCACCCCATGTCAATCCTGCTAAACATCTCATAATGTTAAGAACCTTTTTACTTTTCTCCATAACATGTTCTATATGATTTCCCCAAGTTAATTTCTTATCAAACACTACTCCCAAAAAACGAAAACAATCAACTCTTTCCAACTCTTTCCCATATAAATACAACTTTTTATCAAGCCCAATTTTTTTTATTAGTAAAGAACATTACTTTTGTCTTTTCGATTGAAAATTTAAAACCCCACTCTATTCCCCACTTACCCACTTTATCTATGCCTTCCTGAACTTTCAAAATGAGATGTTCTACATTTCTTCCCCTTTTCCATAATGCTCCATCATCAGCAAACAGTGACTTGCCATAGCTAATTGATACTTCTTTAAAAATATCATTAATCATAATTGTAAATAATGTTGGACTTACCACACTTCCTTGAGGAGTTCCATTTTCTATTTTACATGATTGTGAAACATGAGATCCTATTTTAACTTGAATAGTTCTATCACATAAAAAATCCCATAACCAATTAAACATATTACCTCCTATACCTATCTGATGTAATTTAATCATTAACCCTTCTCTCCATAGCATATCGTATGCTTTTTCCACATCAAAAAATACAGCAACAACAACTTCCTTTCTAATCTGAGCTTTTCTAATATCATCTTCCAAACATAAAACAGGATCTATAGCTCCTCTCCCTCTACGGAAGCCACTTTGGTAAGGAGAAATTATATTTCTTGACTCCAAGTATTGTATTAATCTCTCATTCACCATCCTTTCCATCAATTTACAAATATTAGAAGTTAAAGCAATCGGTCTATAGTTTCCAGGATTACTATGATCTTTCCCAGGTTTCTTTATCGGAATAACAATCGCTTCTTTCCATTTACAAGGCAGTCTACCCTCTTTCCAAATCTTATTATACAAAATTAGTAATTTATTCAAAACATCATCACTCACATGTCTTAGCATAATATAACACACTTCATCTTTACCTGGAGCACTATTCCTAGTACTACCCAAAGCTCTTTTCAGTTCTCCAATAGAGAAAGGATAATTCATTAGATCATCAGAATTACACTCTTTCCTTTTTAACATTTCTTTATTTTCCCTTTTAGTTTTCTCTCTTCCCTGTATCTCATTCAATGATAAATGTTTCCCACTATGTATCTCCACAAACGCACTTACTAATAACTCAACCTTTTCTCTGTCTGTTACTGCTACTATATTGTTTTTATTAAGTATAGGGTAACTCCATTCTCTTCTATCCCCCCCCATTTTTTGATCATTCCCCAAACTTCCCCTATCTTTGTATTACTGCCAATTTTGTCACAAAAATCTCTCCAATATTTCCTTTTTGCACTTCTTATTATTCTTCTTACGTTTGCCTGTGATTTTTTATATTCAATTAAGTGTTGAAAATTATTAAACCTTTTAACCAATTTAAATGCTTTATTTCTTTCTCTGACTGCTGTTCTACACTCATCATTCCACCATGGAACTAACGTTCTCCTATTTTTCCCTGATGTCTTTGGAATGGTCTCCTCAGCAGCTGCTAAAATACTCTGACTGATCTCTTGATTCATATTTTCAATACTCAAATCATTTTGTACATTTAAAATCTTACATTCACATAATTTATTAAATGTACTCCAATTTGCTTTTCCAAATACCCACTTTCCTCCTACCACTTCAGGACTCTGTATCTGACCCATCCTTATGTTGCTGGTTATAATGTAATGATCACTGCCAAGAGACTTATTTTTAACTTGCCAATCACACAATGGGGCCAAACAACTGGAAACAAATGTTAAATCCAATACAGATTCCTTACCTGAATTTATATCAATTCTTGTCTTCTTAACATTATTCAAACATACAAGATTATTATTATCTAAAAAATCTTCTAACACTTTTCCATTATAATCTACTTTTTCACTTCCCCATAATGAGTGATGTGCATTAAAGTCTCCACACCAAATAATATTTCCTTTTAACTCCATCTCCTCAAGTTTACTTATTTCAAGCTTCTTACAGGGATTATAAAAATTTATAATCAATATTATCTTTTCTTCTACCCATATTTCAATTGCTACATATTCCAAATCCCCTTTACTTTCAATTATTTTATATGGAATACCTTCCTTAATCAAAGAAATACACCCACCCCCATTTCCTTCTTTTCTATCATATCTCACTGAAATATATCCCGATACTCTGAAATCCAAAAAAGGCTTCAGCCAAGTTTCCTGTATACAAATTATATCAGGTTTAACTTCCTGCTCATAAATGAACTGTTTAAAGTCTTGACCATTTGACAGAAGACTCCTTGCATTCCATTGTAAGATTAATACTATCCTTCTTGGTTTGCTTGGCTACACAGTTCTCCCCTTATATCTTCCCATCGAATATTCTTCAAATCTAAGCTATGGCATGCTGCCTTGACAATAATCTGAATCCTTTCAGTCTTTGATTTCACATCTGAGGTTGCATTTATTACTCCTGCAATAAAAGTCACCATTTTCTTTTTTTCCTCTTCTATTTTCCTTTTGACTATTTCCATAACCTTTTGAATTACTTGTTTTTCTTCAATCACAGATTTTCCATCTTGTTTCTCTTTTCCAACCATCTTACACGCTTCTACATATGTAACTTTCTGCATAACTTTTGTTTTCTGTATCATTGTTTGCTGTTTCATCACTTCACATCCCCAATAAGCTACACTATGCTCTCCTCCACAACTACAGCACTTTGGTTTAACTCCAACTCCACATTTTCCATATTCATGGTCTCCAGAACATCGGGCACATCTCCTTTTTTCTTTACACATTTTTGCAACATGGCCAAATTCCTGACAGTTGAAACATCTCACTGGTTTAGGCACAAATTCCCTGACACTAAATCTTATCAAACCAAAGAAAACCACCTTTGGCACTTCTTTTGACTCAAACTCCACCAACACAATTTCTGTCTCAACTTTCTCTGGACCCTTTGTCATCCTTCTTGCGTTTTTTACTTCCCTATTTCTTTCTTTTAAATTCCCAACTAAATCTTTCATATTTACACTTAGAGGCACTCCTGTGATAATTCCTTTACTTTCAATATTTCTTTTTTCACCCACTCTAACAACTGTTCTAACTTTGACTTTACACACCCACCCAAGTTTCTTCGCCTTCTCCACCTGCTCTTCTGAATTACACCCAAGCAGGAGATTTCCATCTCTCAGTATTTTAGCATATTTTATTTCTCCCACATGTGCTTTAAGTGCTTTTGTTAACTTAAGTGGA